AAATGGAAAATTACCCAGCACCTGCGCAATAATTTACATTCAGTGCCTTCAGGCGCCATCATCGTAATGGAGAATGCAGGGACGGCTCCATACAGAAAAGGGGTGGGTCTTCTACCAGGGTGAGGTACAGGACTCAGTGTCTTCAGTAATGTATTGCATGAAGTCCTGTGTACTCAGGGTACTAAATCAGCTGAGAACTTGCTGTCCATAAAACATTCTAGTTAACTAAGGCTTCCACAGATGAACTGACAATTTTTGAACCATGATTCTACAATTAAACTTAATTCAATTTTTCTTTGTTGAAAACACTTGAGGGTCATGAAATTTATGCTTGGTTTCATCTGTATTACTATGAATTCTCATTGTACTAGCAGACTGGGGATTAATGGCTCATGGAGAACTCAATTTGAGAGAATGCCAATGAGCCACTATTTACTCACCAAGGGTAGCTTGCCCACTGTGGGAATACTGCTGCTGGCCCAAGATAAGACTCTTCTAGAAGGTGTGAGCATGAAAAGTAGTCTTGTTTAATATGCATAATTATTGAAATGGTACCACCTGAGCTAGTATGTAAACTGATCAACAGCAGCACCCAAGCCCCTGCTATAAAGCAGACACATTATCACTGTGTTTTCTTTTAAAGTGAACAAAAACATAACTGCATGATTTTCCCCTTCCCTTTCCTTCCTCCAATCCCTTCTTTATACCCTTCCTTCAGCCACTCTCATATCTTCCTCCTAATTCACTCTCAAATTGATGGTTGCTATTTCTTGATTACACACACACACACACACACACACACACACACACACACACACACCATGCTGAGTCTCTTGAGTGTTGTACATGTGTATATTTCAGGCCTGACCACTTGGTATTTTATAACCAGTGAGGGAGTCATCGCTGAGGAAGATTTATTTGCTATCTCTCAATAGTCATTAGTGCCCTGTAGTTTTTTGTCTAGTGGTGGAGTCCTGAGAGATTTCTCCCTTCCATGTTAGCTTATCTACTGGTATTGTCTTTGGATCTTAGTTAGGTAACCATATTGTTGAGATATCATGAGTGTAGCTTTCCTGTCACTTCTAGGAAACACAATTTCACAGACATCCTACTCCCCTGGCTCTTACAATCTTTCTGTTCCCTCTTCTTCAATGTTCCTTGAGACTTAAGTAGGTGAGTTGTATTGCAAATGTATCTCTTGGGACTGGACATGCCATGATCAGTTGACCTCTGTGTTTTGACAAGTTGTGATTCTTCAATGGCTTTTGCTGCAAAGAGGAGCTTCTAAGATGAGAGGTGAGTGCTACACTTATCTATGGCACACAATTTAGTTGTGTGACAAATTGTAATTCAAAGGCATAGATGCTGTTAGTTTGGTGCAATGAATCTGAATTACTGGGCTGAGTGAGTCAGGGAAGGGATAAAGTCCACTAGAATGTATTTTGATGAGCATATGGTGTTCTCTGGACAATGGATGAGGGACATATTTCACTGGAAATCTCTGAAGTACTTTGGGTATGTGTTGGAGGATTATTCTGAGCACAGGGGAGGTGGTGAGTCTTTACCTACTGAATCTCAACTTCCTTCAGCCTTGGATTGGTCCTTGTGTTGTCTACTCCACAGTATTTCTGATTGCCTAGGTCTTTGGGAATGTCTGAGGTTTCTTTATCATAGCAATTGTATGTTGTTCAATAGAGTAGGTTTGGAAAATGTAGTAATTCCAAATCCCACATTTTAAAGGTAACCATTGTCATTCTGGTCTGTTTCTTACTAAAAATGGTCACATGTTGCATGGATGTCTGTATTCCATGTATATGTAGTAGTAGGGTATTTGGTCTCACTATGACACTCTGAGACTGTTAATAAAGTTTACCTTGAGTCAGGGGGTGGAGCCAGGGACTAGCTGACCAGAATCAGAGAGAAGACAGCAACTTGGATAGAGAAGAAGCACAGGAGGGAACAAAAGGGCAGGAACTTGTGTTTGATGCTTCTGTTTGGTTTGGGGACAAGTAAAGAGACTTGTCTCTTGCTGGGTCTCCAGCCAAAAAAAACAAGGTCAGATGGCTGTTCCTCAGCTTCTATGATCCAATAGGTTTTCAACCCCACATCTGATTTCTATTGTTGGTAAATAGAATGAGAGAGATTTGTTTAAACCTACATGTCGTGGTCATGACAGAACCAGAACTGTGGGACCAGAAGGTCTTCCAGGTCACAGCCTGAGTGGCCTGTGGGGCACTGACTATTGGGCGATGGGGCAGCAGATGATAATTAAGATATCAGTAGATTTATGTGCAGCTGCTAAGCTGACAGAAAAGCATCAGTAGGGTATCATTTGTTAAAGCTGAAATTTTACTTAAGTTCCTGCTTCTGAGAAGCTTAGTCTTTAGCATTTACATGTCTCCAGCCATGTAAAGAAGTGAAAGCAGATAGCACATGGAGTCTGAACATTTTTTTGTACTTTGTAAAGAGCAAGAATCTTCAGAAGTTGTTTTAGAGGGAAAGGAGAAATCAAGAATCTTTTGATGACTGCAAGAGAAAAGAAGGGGATTTAACCTATGATCAGATGGTCATTTGAACCCTGGGAGTCCCCTGTGCAATGAGGATCCTTCAAGTCTGGGATTACCCTGAGAGGTAACTAGAGGTTGGAATGTCAACAACTTGAGTTTTAGGAACTCTCAGTCTTGCCCATACTTCCAAGTGATTCCACACAAAGCATAGGAGAAGCAGGTCTGCCCTTTCAAATGCTTCAAGCCTGCTCAGCAGTGACATCTGCTGAATAAGAGTGATGGAACAACACACACTAGTGATGATGATGGATTATATAGAATGATGAAACTGGTGCATGACACTACATAATGTACTGTGACCTTATTCTGTGTACATTGCCCAATTGTGGGTATCTATGTTAATTTCATCAACTGTAAGAAAGTTTCTCTGATATGGGCTGAGCAAGGCACTGATTTATGGGCATAGCAATCTGTCATCAGGAGTCATTTTTATCACTATGCTCCTTTAGCAGAATAATAATATGAGGTTTTCCCCTAAGCTCATGACTTATCTAGTCTCAGGTTCTTGGTCATTTTAGCAGTGTCAGGGATGGATTCCATCTCATGGAGTAGGCCTTAAATATTTAGAAAGCAGTTGGTTACTCTCATAATATTTGTGTCTCCATTCATATAACAAGGACATATGTTCAACCATGTTCATAGCAACATTTTTTGTAATAGCCAGAAACTGGAAGCAGCCTAGATGCCCCTCAACCAAAGAATGGATAGAGAAATTGTGGTACATTTACACAATGGAGTACTACTCAGCTGAAAAAAAAAAACAATGGAATCTTAAAATTTGCAGGAAAATGGATGGAACTGGAAGAAACCATTCTGAGCGAGGTAACCCAATCACAAAAAGACAAACATGATATGTACTCACTTATATGTGGACCTGCTTTATGATACATAGTAGTGACCATGCTTTATCAGAGCTGTTTTTAATGATGTTGCTCAGAATGGTTTCCTCCCAGATGATGACTGAGAAGCTAATTTTTTTTTTAAAAAATGATGCCACATACCACAAGAGTAACAGAACTGTGCTGTTTTCTTTGGATTTTGTTTTTTACTTTGTTGTTGTTGTTGTTGCTTGTTTGTTTTTTTGTTTTTGTATGTTTTTTGTTTTTTGTTTTTTTTAAATGAAGTGTGTTGGATGTCTCTACAATTTTGTTCAAATGACTGCAGAACCTGGAAAAACTGTTGCTGCTGTTGATGCATAACATACTGCCATTATTGCTCCCTCCCTCCCTCCCTCTCTCTCTTTCTCTCTCTCTCTCTATATACATATATATGCTAATTGAAACTCAAATATGTGATTAATCCAAGGTGTTTCAGTGAGTGCTCACCTGTGCATGCAAATTTGATTTCATCTTTAGTAAGTAGTAAAGTTATATGCTTGCCAAAAAAAAAAGTAACACACTGGAAGACAAATGTCATACAATTTCAATTTTATGTGTAACCTATAAATGATGAACTTATGGGAACAGAGAGCAGAATTGTGGCTATTAGGCTTCAATGTGGGTATTTTAACAATGGGGAAACGATTGGTTTAAGCATATAAAACTGCAGTTGGACAAGAGGCATGGACTCTGTGAAGTCTTGAGGTCTACTGAGAGCATGATAAATATGGTTGATAACAATATGTTATATTTTAAAAGTTGTGAGATAGTATACTTTAAGTGTTCTCAAAACAAAAATGATGAATAGGTGTGATATAACATGTTAATTGGTTTAATTTAGCCATGCCATTGTGAACATACTGTATTGTGTATCATAATTGTGCATGACTTTATTTATGAGCTAAATAAATGAATGGAAAAGAAAAAAATTGTGTCTCTATTGCAACAGTATCTCTTGCAGGTGGGTTGCTGCTGTAGGTTGCAACTGGATGATATTGATATTACTTTTATACTATAGTCATGTGCAGAGTACCTTTCAGCACCGTGAACACTTGTCAGTAGGGATGAAGCTTCCAGTTAGGCACCAGTTTGACATTTCCATGCTCAGTGACAAAAGTCAATGCTGTCTTTCCAATAGGACCTTACCATCAGGTTGTAGAAAACAACTAGTAACCTCTTCTAGTTGTCTTTGAGACATAGTTCTCCTAGATAAAGACAACACACTTACTAAACATACTATGTTGAATAAAGTTCTACATGATACATAAGACAACCTCTTTAAAAGTCTTTAAGACACATTATTGATAGCTGTTATGGTTAATCTTTATGAAACCGAGAACCTCAGGATAGATATAATTAGACACTGAAGGTTCTGCTGAAATCTACAGTTGACTCTTGATGGCTTTAAAAGTTGAATAGAGTTTTTGGGAGATTCTGGAGCTGTGGAAGATGAGGTCTAGTCGGAGAAAGTGGGTCACAGGAGGCATGATCTTTGGGATGTATGTTGACTTTATCTCTTTCTGTTAGTGATGCACTCTGTTTTCTGTCTTCCAAGGCACGAGCTGCACCACACCCTCTCTGCCATGGTGGACTGAAATGTCTGAAATGTAAGTGGGATAAGGCTTTTCTCTTTGAAGATGTTTCTGTCAGGCATTTGGTTTCAGTTCAGATGAATACAGTTGTACTGTGGGCAGTGACCTCCCTGCAACTCATTTAATTTTTCCATTCTTGAACATTCAGAAGACAACATCTTCTGGCTTTTCTCACAGTTAGCTTGTGGCTGTGACTGTGTCATTAGTCTAAGCAATGAGCTATGTGCAGAAGCAAAGTGTGTCACTTCCAGAATGAAGTATTTAAAGGTTATATGCTGCTCTCTAGCTTCTTCCCCGAACCATGGAAACCAATGAAGTGATGTTTTGGGGGTAGCTGTGTTGCCAAATGGAAGTGAGCTGGTTTACAGAGCAATTTCCCCAGAGAGTTGGATTTGTGGTTCAACTAAGAAAGAAGCAAACCACTTTCATTTTAGGTCACTAAAATTTGGGATTATATTACTACTAAGGCATATGTATTCTAAGTTAGTGTTTAAGCCTTAGTCTGTTTAAAAGAACCAACCCTGCACTTAGACTTTTGAGGCTCCATTACATTGCACACCTCTTTATAGTTTTTTTTATCTTAAATATATTGACCTTCTTTTTCAGTCTCCTCACCTTTGTCTTTGTGCCTTACTCATAGAGTGATGATCAACTAATATTAAGGGATTAAAATACCATCTGCCACAGAGAAGAAGTATTCAAAAGCTTTAGTTTTTTGATGACTAATATGATAATTAAATTCTAAAATTTGTTAGTATAAACTCTCAAACAATTAATACTGAAAGAAAATCCAAAGTCTACATTTTGTTTATTATTCATTGAGTTCATCCATGATATTTACTGAGGATATAAGAAAAGATATGTGTGATATTCATTTGTTCCAAGAGAGGTTCATATAAAATTCTTTCGTAAATACTCCAATCTTTACAACATTTATTTCACCCCTTTAAAAACAGTTCTGAGTGTCTTATTTTTGTTTCTTCTGTTTCTCTTAGCTTGATTTGTTTTGCAAACCAGTTTCTATATTTGTAAATAGGTGATTCCCTCATACCTTCTCAATATCAGCAAATAACAAGACCTCTGATTTTGTCTACCCTCTTTTTCTTAGGCTGATGGTAGAGGACAGGAAGGGTTTTGCACAAGGATAGGAGATGTTTCCACGATTTGTTGTTTGGGTGGCTGGAAGTTAGGCAGTAATGTCACAAGAATGATGATAGAACTATTTCTGTGCCTAGACTGTGTGTGTGCCCTCTGGTGAGTAAATCATAGCACAAAGTAGTTTTTGTCATGCGAGTTTGTGATACTGGCAAAGCATGTGAAATGTATACATCCTGTGGCTTCTTAGAGATGTCTTTTGAATTTGGTGAGTTAATTTCCCATATTTGGGGATTAATTGTTAAAGATTTATTTCATTGTTGGTGTGCATGTGTGTGTGCACACACACACTCGTGCCGTGCCCATGCTTGTGAATTTGTATGGCCATGTGCAAATGTATGCAGCTGCTCAGAAGCCAGAAAGGGTTTTGAATCCCCTGGAGCTGGAGTTGCAGGTGCCTGTGAACTGTTCCATATGGGTACTGAAATTGAAAGCTGGGGTCCTCTAAAAGAGCACCAAGCACTCTTAATTGCTGAGCCATCTCTTCATCCCCAGATTACTTACTTTAAAAGAGATGTTAAAAACAAAGACACTGAAGTAGAACAATTCTCCAACTTACAGTATGGAAGAAGGAACAGCAAGGTAGAAAGGGAATCATAGTAAGAAGACCAGATATGTTCTGCACATCAAGGAAGGAAAAACTCTATGGAAAGAGTTTGCCAGGGGTAGACACTGCTTGATTATTAAATGGGTGGATGAACATACATCCAAATGCACTAAATGACACAAGGTACTTTAGGAGGAAACACAGAATCAACTCTCTCCTGGCTTTTCCAGAATCCATTTGCATTTATTTGTTGTTTTGTTTCTTTGGTGTTTTCCTTCCAACTTTGTCACAATTTGTTTTACCTTGCTGCTTTCATTCACTTTACAATAAAGTAAAACCTACATAAGAGGATTTTAAAGCAATTCGAAATAAGTAGGCTTTTAAAAATGAAAGAAAATATTTATAATTCTCATCTTACCACACTTCTTTCCCAGCTTTTCTTTACTGAAAAGCTCGGAGTAATACATTGTCGTAAAGAATATATTCCAAATGCATCTTGAAAGAAGGCATTGTATAAAAAATACGGGGTTTTCTTTCACAAAACATTTCTAATTTCTATTGTAATGGGTAGTATAATATAATTTTATGAGTTCTCATTTACTACTGCATTAAGAAATGTGTAGAGCTGGTGAAATATCTCATTGCAGCAGATAGCTTATGCATAAGCAAGGGGTTCTGAGTTAGATCCCTAGAGCCCACATAAAAGGCTCTGGGTAGTGGAATGCACTGACAGAAAGAGCAATTCATGGGCTCCCTGGCCAGACAGCATAGCCATTGAGAGGCTCCTTAAGAATAATGGCCTGAGATACCATATGTGAGCACACATTTTACACACATACAAGCACACACACACACACACACACACACACACACACAGTATAATATGGATGACAATGTTGGTGAGTTTGTGTGTGTGTGTGTGTATGTATGTATGTATGTATGTATGTGTGTGTGTGTGTATGTATGTATGTATGTATGTATGTGTGTGTGTATTAGGTAGTTCAAAAGTAATGGTGGGTTTGACTTTGAATTTTACATTCAAAAGCTCAAAGACATTTTTCTTTTTAAAAAATTTTTTTGATATAGGGTTTCTCTGTGTAGCTTTGGAACCTATCCTGGTACTCGCTCTGGAGACCAGGCTGGCCTCAAATTCACAGAGATCCACCTGCCTCTGCCTCCCGAGTGCTGGGATTAAAGGTGTGTGCCACCAATGCCCAGTGCTCAAACACATCTTTAGTAATCAAAATAGGAACTATTAGGGTCAACACATTTTTTTGCTAATGAGAAATACATTTGTTTATTTCTGTAGTGCAAAAATCCATGTGTTAGGATTTGTCAAATCTCCAAAGCATTTGGATGGGAAAGAATGTTCTGCATCCTGGTGGATGTAGAAGAACTTTCCCTGAAAATAGGTGTAGAGATGATTAAAGAAGTGGAAGTTAAAAGATGAGGAGAGGCCAGGTGAATACTGGTGGGTTGGGCAAAACTCCATTACACAGTTTATTCAGTCTTTGAAGTGTTGATTGCAAGAATTTTATCAGACATTCTAGTGGAGAATAACTGAGCCCTTTTCGGGCTCAGCATGATAGAGGTGTAATCACCAAAGATTGGGCTTTTATTTTGTAATATTTCTAAGACTGCATCCATTAAATGCAAACAAAAAGAGGAAGAGTCTTGGCAGAGAATTGATGTACACTTGATGATTTGATGGACTTAAATATTATTCATGGCATATAGCCTTGTCCATGTTCTCGCTGTTTCTATGGCTTGGGACTCATTGGTCTTCCACTGCTCAGCTGTATCATATGCTAATGGATCATATGGATTAGGAGCAATTAACAAAGCCTGGATTGACAGCACAACTGTGCAGATCTGTAGTGCTGAGGACCACTTATCTTTCAAAATAGCTAAATATATTCTTCACAACTTGTCTAAGTTAGGATGATAAACTTTGGTCATGAAACATACTTTGGGTGCTGCCCTTGGATATTCTTGTGGAATGAAGATTTCCAGTTTAAAAGTCCCTTCCTCAAAGGGGGAATCTTGGGGGCCAGCAATGAGCACTTGAAAATAATGGGCATTGTTCTCATCTGGGTCTGCTTTAGCCAGGAACTAGTTCTGCCAGTAAACATTGGATTTCTCTCAGGGCAGTCCAGGTATCTTGTTGGATCCTGAGTTCAGCCTCTGCTCTTGTCCTGTTATGAATCCTAATGTAAATATTTTTGGAGACAGAGGTTTGCCAAAGGGGACCCATAGGTGGAGAACCGCTGACTTAGAGAGTTTTGTTTTTTGGTTTTTGTTGGTTTTTTTTGTTGGTTTTTTTGTTTTTTCATCATTCCAACTTGCTTCAAATGTTGAATATCTTTTAAGTGGTCCAGGTTGAATTCTTTGACAATTTCTCATCTAACTGTAAGATGAGCAACATCTATGATTGTTCATAATTGGTCATTGTCAACTTCTGATGGCAGGATACACTGCCCATGCCAAGGCTCTCTGCCCCGTTGCAAAAACTTCTAGAATCATCCACTGCCTTATCTATTGGTCAATAGTTTCTGGGACATATGTGTTTTGGGCATTGAAAGTTGTCTTTGTTGCTTTACAACTCAATTGAACTCCAATAAGAAAACCATCATATTTGTTTTTTGCTTTACAACATTTTCATAGGATAAAATAAATATAAAATAAATAGCAAACAATATCATTAGTAAAGAAACAGTGACAAATACATTTTAAAAATTATATAACATAGCCAAATTTATTTAAAAATGTATTCAACATCAAACAAATTTTAACAGTGTAAAACTAAAATTATTCTTGTACCAATCTAATAAGCATATATGTATACATATGTATACAGTTGTAAATCTTCATAAAAAGTATTTTTGCAGGATCCAAGAAGATGTAGTTACCTACTAAGGAAGAGCTTGACAATTTAACTTTTAAGATTTGGGGGTAAGGAAGTAAAACTGGTGCTGGTGGCGAAAGCCTTTAATACAGCTCTTGGGAGGCAGAGGCAGGTGGATCTCTGTGAGTTTGAAGCCAGCCTGGTCTAGCACAGCCAAAGCTACACAAAGAAACCCTGTCTCAAAAAATGAAACAAAACAACAACAATGAAAGATTTGGAAGGTTTTGGCTTTTCTTGTTGCCAAGATAAAACTTTTCATTAACTCTACTCCATGAGCTGTCTTTCATGCCTTTCCTTTGAATTAAAACATTGAGTCTTGCCTTAGCGATTTTCATGCATTGCTGTGCACAGGTGAAGGTGCCACTTGGGCAGCATCTGAAGGCTGCAAAATTTGCAGCTCCAGCATTGGAGGCTGCCAGGGCACCCATGGCCTATGGGATAGGAGCACAATGCCCTTTGAAGCCAAGGACTAATTTCACAACTCAGAAGCAGAGAAAATTGATGGTGAACATGGGGCTAAAAGAAGAGAGAATGGGACTATGTGGAGAAATGGTAGATTTGGTGACTGAGCCTTAGCCGTGTGCCCTGCACCTGTAAGCATGAAACAGTTTTACTGGCTTGGATGTCCTCATTTATTTTTCACATAAACAGCAGAAAGATGGCCTGGAGAGATGAAAGTAGGCCATGCATTTTCCTTTGACAGCAGGCACTGTGTGTCTATGCTGTTTGCAGAGTGCTGTCAACAGATATTGGCTTAAATAATTGCTTGTACCTTTGGATATCAGTCACATGCTAATGCAAACATAGAGTCAGCAGGGTGAAAATTATTTTATGAGACCATTATCATTTCAACTTCCCCTTCATTTGGAATGGTAGAGGGAACAACACACAGGGAAAATACTAAAATGAAATCAAAATGCTGTTTGCTTGAGTCATTGCTGGTGTCAAATAATACAAATTTCATTGCTGAGGGCACCTGAAAATTTTCTTGTTAGGATCTTCCTTCATTTAGATTTCATTTATTACAGACATTGGCTACATCACTCTGATATAATTTCTGTATTTGCCATGGAGCTTGAATGTGTCTGTATACTTATCAATCTCAAATAGAACTAAATATCCTTTACCTAAATGTGGTGAGCTATTGTTCCCAGGGTTCTTTTGTTACAGGACCCTGAGAGTGGTAATTGAGTAGACCCTGTTATGATTTAACTTGTCAAATATTTTAGTGCTGGCAGTCATTTATATATTTATTTCCTGTTTTTTTTTTCACTTGGAAACAGCTGTTCAGCTTTCACATAGTATTTTTGGAGTTAATAAATCAACACCATTACCTTGTTGGGTGTGCTGTTTCAACTTCCATCTTTTTTGTTGGTTTTAATAGCCTAATTGAAAGCCTCTACCAGGGCATGACTGTTATCCCACATGTGTGTGTGTGTGTGGGGGGTGAGGCAGGAGGACCTCCACGAGTTCACTAGGAGCTTGGGTTACATAGTCAGAGCCTGCATTAACATGCTGCCATACAAAACAAATAAATAAATAGAGGTAGGAAGAAAGAAAATAAAGAAAAGGAGACCTATAACTGTTATATTTAATTTGGTGAGTGAGTCTTAAATTCATACAGGGAGTGTGAATTGGAGTGCTTCAAAAAATTGTTTTCTAGTGGCTTCCATTTTACCTCTCACTGTATTTCGTCAGGTTTTGGAATGACATTAGAGTTCTCACAAGTAAAATCAGAATACTCTATCAGTGAGAAAGAACAGAAAGATGGACTGTGTTGGCTAAAATAGACTTGAAACCCCCAAAGAATTCCAAGTTCAATATCAGCTCCCTTTTCTAGTACCATTTAGGATTCGGTTTGGGGTTTTACACTTTTAATTTTATTTACATTCTAGCGCTTTCACTTTTATGAATTCTATAATGCAGAGTTAGTTACACATGTGATTTAGGATACTATGAATAGTTTATGTTAGAGACAGAATATAGTTTTTGAATTGATATGTAATTTTGTCTTAGCATTTCCCAGTTTGGTGCTCTGGGAGTTCTGGATATTTCCTCAGGAATGATGATGTTACTAACGCAGGGTGCTGCTGGGAATGATTCGACATCTCCTCAATCTTCCCACTCTGCCTCATTTATGGGCATATAGTTTGTTCTCAGAATGATATCAAGGACCAAAAACTGACTTGCACTCATCCTTCTGTCTCCATTTCTATTCCAGCATAATTCTTTTACCGGAATAGGGGAAAATACTCAATGTCTTTCCTTAAATATTTAAACTGATAGACTAAAAACTCTTATAGCCAGTTTCTTGATTTAAACAAATTTTCAGCAATCAACTTCCTTGCTAATAGGGTATTGTGAAGAAGTCCCTGAACTGTCAGGGGATGGGCAAAGAGAAACCAAGGGGGTCCTGAAGGTAGAGGAGCCAAGATGCTGAGCCAGGATTCTGCTGTAAAACACTTTAAGTGTTGTTGCTGCTCCTCCATCATTTCTAATTAATTTGACTTCTTATTATCTCCCTGTCTTGCTGTTTTTGCTCACAATTTCTTGCTTTGGGGCAAGCCTCCAACCATCTGACTGTAGACTCTACGAGTTTCCACAGGAAAGAATGAGGGTGTTATTAGAAACTCTTCCCTAAGCCCAGGGGTATTAGAAACTACTGTTCCCCAATCCTTTGTGTAATAGACTGTTCTCTCTATGAACTACTGCACTGGGCTGATTGGAAGAGGCATGCAGGAGTTAGGTGGCTGCAGATAAGTACATATCTGATCAATAACTGCTGTTTCAACAGAGAATAAGTGTGGAATTATCCTCAAGAATCAAAGTCAAGCAGATAGTACCGGAGGAGGGGAATCTAAAGTGTGTATGATCCTTATAGCCAGACGCCTAGCAAAGAGATTCTAATCCAAGGATTGCACAAATGCTAATCCGAGCCAAAACTTCATTGAAGGAAAGTGGAGAGAGACCCTTTCTGGTTTTATTGGCATTTCTGCTCATGTCATTGAACGACCCATCACACTACTCATTGGATTAGATGAAGTGAAATGAACATCACCTTGCTCCATTTGGAAGTCCTCAACAGCTCTCTTTGCAGCTCTCCTAGCTGAACGCTAAGGCCTGACCTCCCACCACCCCAACCATCTTGCTTCATATTGCTATTATCTCAGTTGTCTTCCAAAATAGGGTTCTCACAGGAACAGATTAATGGGTATGCTGGAATTCTTGAAGATATTGGGAATGGAGGGCTACACTTTTCTGTGACTTCCTTATAAGAAATTTAAATTTGCTTTGCATCAACAAATACTCCAAAATAATAACTTTAGCAAGGTTTTGGTATAAATTAACACACACACACACACACACACACACACACACACACACACACACACACTTTCATCTCTACTAACTTCCTCTTTCTGCCTACACATTATATCCGTCATTGAAAATCAGCCACTTGGCACCTCCTCTCTCAGTTGGCTGAAGAAACTGAACAAGGATGGAGCTGTTCCATTTGCTTAAAGTGAATGATTTATTATCTGAAATTCAAATACTTTAATATGCTTTCCAAGAAATTATTTGGTTTGGAAAAATTGTAAGAAGTAAGTTAACCGAGGAGGAAGAGAAGCAGAGGAGAACAGCTGAGAAATAGGGATCTTCTATGACTTGAAAAAGAAGGTGGATAAAGTATTTGTTTTAAAGAAGGTTTTTAAGGCTGAGTCAGGAAATGGGAGAAGAGCTTTTGAAGTCCAGACTATCTATCCTAGGCACTGCAGATATTGTCCAAATCACAGCAATACTCTGACAACTGATATTTTTGTTTCCTTTCATTTCCCTTGGAGGTTGGGGAATGAGTTCCAGGTCTGGGAGCCCTGGTTAGGATCCTGCCTCTTTGGGAAATGGCAGATCAATGTGTCCTCATTCAGAGGTGAGTAGGAACTGAGACCCTCTTCTTTATCTTCTAAGCTCTGAAAGCCTCCTGTTAGTCTGGAGGTAATCCTTTCTTTGTGTTTTTTCTTCAAGTATTCCCTCTCCTTAAGTCTTCTAAATTATTCAGCAAAGTCTATATAAAATATTGAAGGTCTTAGAAACAATGTCCTAGGGGAGTCAAGCTGTGTAGCTATGACTGTTTCCAGCCTTTCCTCAACTACCTACAGAAGTGGGAAACCCCACAACTTCAGGTTGGGGTGTCAGACAGTCTTTTGTCTTTGGGAAGAAGAATCATGACTCCTTGTAATATCCACCTTCTGATATCTGTGGACTATAATGTATAGAACAGAATGTTGATGCAGTGCTATTGTTTCTGATATATGTGGACTGCAGATGTACTGAATAGTAGGTTGATGCAGTGGTATTGTTTCTGATATCTATGGACTGTGTGAGTTAAGGAACAGTAGGTTGATATGGTGGTATTATTTTAAGTCACCCAGGATGTGCTAACCTGTTTGTACAGCAGTAAGAACAATAATACACATGTAAGAGTTTTCTTCCTTGATTTGAAGCCAGCTCAGAACAGAAATATAGGCAGCAGATGGGTAGAGACAGGAAATTATTAGTTTTACTACCAAGAAAGTATTTTTTTCCATTTTGTTCTCTGCAGAACTTTAGGCACCCAGCCTCTGTGATCTATCAGCTCAGTCCTCTTGAACAACCAATACAGAGCTTTCTCTTCACTAGAGAGCAGCTGGTGAGTTCACGCTGAGAGCAGGCAAAAACTGAGAAGGAAGAAAATAGGGAAGGTGCTAAGCCTTGTATCTGTAGACTTCTCTCCAGTTCACCAGTGTCTTGGGAATGGAAAACTATGGAGTTAGGAATGTGGCAAGCCTTCTTCCATAAGGAACATGTGTCTCCTAGGGAATCAGAGTCCTCTTCTAATGCCCATTCTTTGTCTTTGTTACAGAGAAGGTGAAAACACTGGGACAAATTTATACTTCAGAAACCATTCTTCTGCATGTTTAATGCAAAGCCAGGCTTGATGGTGCATGTCTGTAATCCCAGTGCTGGAGAAACTGAAGTGGGAAGATTGCAAACTCAAGACCAATCTGTCCAAAAAAACAGAGATTGACAAAATAATTCATATGCTTAATTCAAGTATTAACTTCCCTCTTTTGTATATGACATATATAGAGTTTTTAATCAACTGGATATCAAATATCCTTTGTTGTCTGTTGATAAATGTTGTTCATATTTATAAAGAAATGTGATGAGAGTGTCCTGAAATCACTGGTATCCTTCATGCCTCCTGTCTTAGCTTAAAGCAATTTTTACATATTGTCTCATATAATTCCTTGTTATATCTCCTCTGATGTAACCCTATTATATCATTCATTTGACATTCACAATTGATTCTTACTCAATTGATAATATGCCCCCCCCCCCACTGTGTTTTCTAGCTATTTCATTAAAACGCTGATGCTTCTTCTGGTTGTGACATGCACCCAGGTCACTCCTGAGAAACATTCTTCCCTGTCAAACCTTATACTTATATTAGGCTCCAGGTTTGTGTGGCAGGCATAATTTTCAGTTCCTAAGGCTTCCAGATCATTATTTTGTACCAGCTTCTCTATACAGATGTGAATTAGTTATTGGTGATTAAAAATACCTTGCAGGAACAATTTATGGGAAACAAGGTTTATTTTGGAGCATGGTTTCAGAGAAATTTCAATTTTGCATGGCAGGAGTGGGAGACGCTCAGCCAGTGATGGTTGGAGCTTGAGGCAGGGGGTCTTCACAGCATGTAAAGTAGGGAGAAAAACTGCAGTCCAGAATGAGAAGCAGGTATGAACTTTAAGGTCCATCCCTAATGACTTGATTTTCCCAGGCAGTCCCCCACATAAGGTCAGCACAGTCTTGAGAATGGCATATCAAGATGGGGACCTAGCATTCAAAGCACAAGTCTTCAGGGGTTAGGTCTGATTCAAACCATGGCAGGACTCAAGACCTTCGCTTCTGTTATTAACTTTTCTTCTTTACAGTCACCTACTGACCACACAATCATTCCACAGTTATCTTTAATTCTGATTGCCATCAGGTGGTGGTGGCATATGCCTTGTATGTCTTTAATCCCAGCACTCGGGAGGCTGAAGCAAGCATATCTCTGTGAGTTTGAGGCCAGCCTGGTTTATAGAGCAAGTTCCAGGAAAGCCAAGGCTACACAGAGAAACCTTGTATCAAAAAACCAAAAACAACAAACCAAACAAACAAACCAAATCAAGCCCGATTACCATGTATATCTACTTCAAATGTCCAGTCATCATCCCAAGAGCCTTTCACTGTCCCCAGATCATGCTCCATACTTGGACTCTTTCTTTGCATGGCTCCTTTCTGACAGTTTCAGCTATGAACAACCACAGTCTAGAATCAAAACTGTTCAGAAATAGTAACCCCAAGTTACACCTTAAACTTCTGACTCAATTATTCTCAGGATACATTGGGTTTTAGCACACAGGTTCTGCATTACCCAATTCTTCTACTTCTTACTATCTCTCATTCTTACCAAGTATGTATGCAATATTCTAACATTGAAACTGTTCTTTCTAACATGCCAACCTCATATTCCTATGTCCATTTTACAAACCCATGAACCTGGAAGCCCTGGATAGATCCACTTGAAATTCTCATGCTCTTGTTTCTGATCTATTGTTCTCGACAAAAGCCATAATTTTGTGCAGACTGGGACAACTATGTGGTGTGAACACCATTGCTAACGAGGGTACAATATTAGCCAGATATCTTCCATTAATTCATTTTTCCATTTCAAGTTGTCACACTGTCCTCAAGCTTCTAAAAGTTGTGCATCTCAATGTTCAATTAAGCTGATGATCCAACTCCTCTTTAATAGGGACTATAAAAATCACCAGACGGGAACCTCCTCAACTTCTGCTACCAATTTCATAGCTCTCCTACACTTTAATGGACTTTCCTCCTCTGTCCTACTACAAGGGAGTGGGTATCTCTTCTAATAGTGCAATTCTTGCATCATACTCATTTCCCAGAGCTCATCCTTTTGTTGAATTCCTTCCAATGCTAGTGGCTGCAATTTCTTCACATATGCTATATCTCAGCCACATTCCTCTCCATCAAAAATAACAACAAAGAAAGCTGCCAGATGGAGTAGGGATGAGAAAGGCAAGTCAGTATAACTTGATAAATTGCTGGGGTAGGGTTGACTTGAAAGTAGTCTGGGGCTCACCTCTCTCCAATGCACTGACAACCCACAACTTTTTTCACCTGGATCAAATTATTTCTTGGTGGTCCTGATTTCTACCCATTTTTAAATCTAGTAATTTTATCCTCATTATGTCTCATTTTTTAAATCTCTTATTCCTCCATTCACCAAAGTGTGGTTCTACCTCCATCACTGTATTACAGCTGTCTTTACCAAGACTGCCAATGACCTTCACTCATGTTGAATATACCAGGTGATTCCCAGGCAATATCTCACTTGACCTTATGGGAACATTTGCCATTTTTGACTACGCTCAAGGATCCACTCTTCCCAGACTCTCTCATTATTTCTTTTTACTTTCTTTGAACAGCTCTAAGTAGCTACCAGTTCTTTGAGTCCTTTAAGTAACCACAAAATTAAAACTTCCTTGAGATTCCTTTTTTTTTTTCACTTTTTACATTGCTCTTGGTCAAAACTTACCTAACTTCATAGTTTTTCTGAGTAAGGAAACCCATGTCTGGCCCCAGACAACCCACAGCCATTTGTAAACAACTTTTTGTTTTCTATCTCCACTCGAATGTTTCAAATCACCTGGAATTATTTTGGAAGCAAAACTGACCTCACTGACATGTCTCGCACACCTGTTCATCACTCATATTTCTTTTTAAAAAAAACAGATCCATAAATAGTTTAACACAGAGTTTTGACATTCATTTTGTTCTCTCTTGCCTATCTCTTCCTGTATTACTGTCTTATGCAGGTCACTTAAAAATTAATCTGTCTGCTCTGTTCCTGATAGCTAGCATTCTAGTTGATCTATGTTTACTTTTTTAGACTATTAATTATTTTTGCCTTCTTACAGTTTATCATTTTTCAATGCTGCATCTTTAGTGCCTAGAAAAAAAGTTATTGATGGCTCATTTGTATAGGGGTGTAACCTTTGTTTAGAGTGCAAGAATGGTGTTTGCCGCCAAAAGATGTATATATTATATTGATGTTTCTTTCTTATTATTTTTCTTAAATTATCTTTCTTAAATCTAGACTCTAGTATATAATAAAAAATACTCTTGCCTGGCGTTGGTGGCACATGCCTTTAATCCCAGCACTTGGGGAGCAGAGGCAGGCAGATCTCTGTGAGTTCGAGGCCAGCCTGGTCTCCAGAGAGAGTGTCAGGATAGGCTCCAAAGTACACAGAGAAACCCTGTCTCAAAAAACCAAACAAACAAAATACTCTTTGGAAACTGCAAATCCAAAGAAACACTATTGTTACTCAGGTTGTTGTTATAGCTGAAATGCCTTTGATGGATCTATTTGCAGCAATAGTAAATCTAAAACTTGGTAAGCAACCATTTGGTTCTTCTATACTGTACCCCCTTAGCCCCATGGCTGCCCCATATGGGGTGCCCTTCAGCTTCTCACTCTTGTCACAGCTTATGAAACATCTCTGCTCTCTGACAGTCTAGTGTTCTCTTCTGTTTATTCATTTTTTCATGCTAGCTGCCCTTCCTTCAGATAGGCATGATTTGACCTCCAAATGACTTTCCATTTGTATTTTCTGCTTCACATTCCATAGTGCATCTCATGTCTTTTTAAGTGTCTGCAGTGTCTCTGTTATACACTGTCCTTAAAATGCTCATCAGTTTTCCCATTGCACATAATAGAAACCCCTGGGTAAGTAAATGAAGCAATCAAATGGTCACTAAAGGTAATCATCCATCCTGACCCAACTGCCATTTTGTTTTTCCTCTTTATTCTTTCCTCTTGGATTTTCATTTCATCCCAGCCCTCCCCAGCTCCCCTACCCCATGAATGGAGAAAGTAGACCCAACTGGAATGAACATAAGAGTTGAAAATATTCTAGGTGTTTTCCTGTTAATGACAAAGTTCATTTTGAATCCATCTAAGTCCTCTGGCTATTGGACATAATAAAATCTGAACCACTATAGGATCTTTCTAGTGTAAATCACCACCTAACACTCTTGACAGCAAAGAGTTAATTTTTAAAAGTATACTTGATAATCAAAAAACTTTTGAATATGGTTTAAATTAGATAATTTCACGAGGGTTTCATTTTTACTGCTGATTTCATTAGCAGTTGGCAAATTTGTCCTTAAGTCAGGCTATATTAAAGCAGTTCTAAAGGAATTGACACCAAAGGCCATTCTAATATTTTTTCTTATGAAAGGGAATCACAGGCCACATTCATTTAATAAATCAACAGCTCTAATCTTCTTCTTCAATGTTATCTTTGGAGCACTATAAAGAACTAGAAAAATCTCTTTGGAAGTATTATATAGAGCTCTTCCTTTTGGCCTTTTGGAAGGGAGGAGAGAAGGGGAAACTGAATGCTGTGGCTGTGTTGGTGTTCAAGTGCCTTGCTGCCACCAGGGTCATACAGATCTGGGTGGCCTGTACTGCCACATGGGGGCATTGTGTCATCTGGTCCTGGGGTGACACTGAGGGCCATGTCTAGGTCTGTGGCCCTACCAAAGCCAAGGTCTGTGTTGATGCCTGTGGCTCTTGACACCATTGAAAGCCATGCTGATGCTAGGGGTCTGGGCTGGCACCTGGGACCATGTTGGTGTCTGAGGGCCTTGCTACAGCCAAAGCAGTCCTAACCTGGCTAGCCTGTGCTGACACTGGGGTTGTGGTGATGTGTGGGCCTGAGCTGCTGCAGAGGGCCATATCTGGGTCCATGTTCCTGCTGCAGCTAGGTTGTATGATGATGTCCATGGCCCGTGTCACCACAGGGGGTCATACAAAGCATGAATGTCGAAATCCAAGGGCTGTGATAAGCTGGCCCATCCCCTTATTGGGATAGTTGATCTTACACCTCGCTAGACATTACAGGAGGAGATATGGCCACAACCTATGAGAGAGCTGGTCCGCACACTCAGGAGAGATGACCCCAATCCTCACCATGGGCAGGGAGAACTGGCTCCAATGGCATTGTCCTAGCAGGGCTGGCTATGCCCCTCACCTGATGGGGTGGGGGATGATTCCAGTG